CCGGGGGGGGCGCCCCCCAACACCCCCGCAGGGTGGGGGGCTGCGGCCGCCATGGAGGGGACGGAGCCAGAACCGGAGCAGGAGCCGCTGCCGGAGCCGGAACCGGGGGCAGAACCGGAGCCAGAACCAGAGCTGCAGCCGGAGCCGGAACCGGAGCCGCTGCTGGAGCCGGAGCCAGAGCCACTGCTGGAGCCGGAGCCGGAGCCGCTGCTGGAGCCGGAGCCGCTGCTGGAGCTGGAGCCGGAGCCGCTGCTGGAGCCGGGCTGGCTGCTGTCGCACGAGGGCCGGCAGCACCGCGACGCCCTCATGCACCGGGGCCGCCGCCGCCTCTTCGGTGAGCGCTGACCCCGTGCCCTGCACCGGGGACACCCCCGGGACACCCCCGGGACACCCCGGACACACTGCGCTCCCGCAGGCCTCCTGGAGCGCCCGGCGCTGCCGCCCGCGCTCTGCACGGCCGCCGTCACCTACAAGCTCTTCGTGTCGGGCCGCAGCGGCGTGGGCAAGACGGCGCTGGTGGCGGCGCTGGCGGGCGCCACGGTGCCGCCCGCGCACCACGAGACGCTGGGTACGGGGGCCGGGGGCCGGGGGCGCCGGCGCCGCGCCGCCCGCGCCCACCGCCCGCCCCGCGCAGGCATCCAGGCCACCTCCGTGCACTGGGCGGCCAAGGTGCGGCGCGCCGGGCGCCCCGTCCTCGTGCGCCTCGACCTCTGGGACTGCGGCGAGGCCGCCCTCAGGAAATTCGACCACATTCTGCCCGTGAGGCCCGCAGCGGGTCCCGTTCGGAGCGGGGGCGGATGGGCGCGCTGGCTGACGCCCTCCCGCCCGCAGGCGTGCAAGGAGGAGGCCGACGGCGTCCTCTTCCTCTTCTCCTTCACCGACCGCGCGTCCTTCGAGGACTTGCCGGCCCAGATGGCCCGCGTGCTGCAGCCGGAGGACAACCTGCTCCGCGTCGTCGTGGGCACCAAGTATCCTTCGGGAGAGCCCGGCCGGGCTGCCGTTCCCGGCTCGCGGGGCGGGCGGATTGCTCGGAGCCCGCCCGGGAGGTCGGCGCGTCGCCCACCGCCGCGGGCTCCCTTTGGGGGGCACGGAGGCCGGGGTAGCGGGGGGGACGTGGGGCCGGGTCCCGCGCGCCGCCGCTTGCCCTTGACCGCGGCGGGTTCGACCTGTGGCCGCAGGCGGCCGTGGCGGAGCACGACGTGGCCGCCTTCGAGCGGGCCTGGCGGCT